CCCCCCCGACCTCAGCCCTGCAGACCGGCCCCACCAGGCAGCTGTGACAAAGGAAAGTTGCTCTGGGCTGGGGTCAGACCCCAGCTGGGGCAGATCTATGCACCGGAGCTACAGCAGGGTGTCTTACTGCCTCAGCCTGTGGAAGGTGGGGAGCCCGGCTGGCGGGAAGGGTCCTGGCTCTGGGATGGGGGGTTCCCTCAACCCACTCGCACCAGCCCTGCTGTCCCCTGGGGCCGTAGCTTCCTGGCAGGGAGGGCTCCTTGGGGGTACAGCCCCTACCCCTGCCCAGCCCTGCTGGGGAGTGGGGAGGAGGGCAGAGACTGGCCCAATCAAGCCCACGTCCCCCTCTCTCTGCTTGCCCCAGGGCCGGTACCTTGCTGTGGTCGGGGTCGGGGTAGTCGCAGAGCCCGGCAGGGAAGGCAGCTCGCATCAGGGCCTTTAGCTCTTGGGGGTAAACGTAGGTGGGGAACGAGGTTTTCTCCCGGCCAACTCCGCCCTCCCACTGGAGCAGAGGCAGAACGGGCACGTTGGACAGTGCTGCTCGCCTGGCGGAGCTGGCCGAAGACCCAGTGCCCAGCTAGGCTGCCATGTGCACCCCAGGGCCCGAGCTGGCACTGCAAGGAGCATGCACGCAAATACTATGCAAACACTGTGCCTGGGGCACCCTCCCTTGCCCGCGAGTCAGAGGTCCCTTGTGCCCACCCCACCGCTCTCACCAGGCGCCGGTGGATCAGCTTGTACGCCTTGCGCCGCCGGCTCCTGTCACACTTCATTGTCGCCGCCTGCTCCAGGACAGAAGCCACCCACGCGGGGACCCTGCAGGAGAGGCTGCAACCAGCTCTGCTGGACGCCGGACCCTGGCACCCAGGTCTGCAGGTCCCCTTGGACAGCCCAGCCCGTCTGTGCCCAACCCTCATGCCCTCGGGTCCTGCAGCCGCTGGCCGTGGGCCACGGGCCCAGAGACATGCCCCTTCTAACTCCTGGGCTTCCCAGTTCCTCCCACTGCCAGCCACCGAACCCAGGTGTCCCCATGCTGCTTTGCTGGATCCCTGCAGCCCCTGTCCTGGCCCAGCACTACCGCACGCTGAGCCAGGCACAGGGAGGGATGGCCGATGTCCCGGGCAGGAGCGTAGAGGACATGGAGCCTGCCCCCTTGCAGCTGGCCTAGGCAAGTCCCGTAGCCCCTGCAGCTGGGTGGGCCTGGCCAGGGCTGCAGCAGGTGTCAGCCCGCTTGGTGCCCACAACCCCTGGCTCCCAGGGTGGGTCCCAGCCTCGTCTTGCTGCCCACGCCCCAGTGCAGAGAGACAGCCCTACCCGTGCTGCTGGCACAGCTGCACTGCCCTCTCCATGCGCTGCTCCAGGTCCCTGCAAAGCCCCAGCAGCCTCCAGCAGCAGGGTTGGGGAGCCGGCCCTGGGAGGCAGCCTGGGGCGGAGCAACCTTTTCACCTCCCTCAGCCCCTCCCCGGCTGCCAGGGGCTCCCAGCACCAGTGCCCTGCAGGCAGGGCAGGGCAGGGCAGGGGGACCTGGCTTGCAAGGCTGGTGCTGCCCGGCGACGGGGTGTGCGGCAGGATGAGAGCGGGGACCATGCCCTAGACACTTAGCCTGTGCTG